TATATATATATATATATATATATATATATATATATATATATATATATATATATATATATATATATATATATATATATATATATATATATATATATATATATATGTTAAAACATTGATATGATGTTGATCTATCAAACTTATTTATCGAAGATTAAAGGTTTAAAATTTCATCTAATATAATTTTCATATATCGGTTCAAAAATTTTCAACTTCAAATTTTATTTTTATCGATTATATTTCATAAAATATAATCGAAGGTAATAAATTCAACCTAAAATTTATCAAAGGTAAAATCTTAAGATTTTATCATAGGTAAAATCTTAATAAATTCAACTTTGAATTTTATTTTTATGGATTATATTTTATAAATTAAAGAAAAAAGCTTATCCTCAGAAATAGATGTCTACTGGGGGAGGTTGGTTCTGGGAAAGCTAAGATGCAGATGGCCACCGTCTTGGAATCAGTGGCGTCAAGCAAGTTAGCCAATCAAAGCCAATTAATGATCTGCTGCTGTACGTTTTGAGTCGTGACTGTTTACTGCTGTTTGTCAACCTAATAGTGTTTGTCTGTACGCTACATAGCTTGTCTTAAGCCGAAGACGAATTATCGATCTAAGCAACACAGCGATCCTCTCTTCCATGGCTATATGCTAAATATCATTTCTCATTTTTCGTAAGGATGATGTGAAGATTTAGTTTGTATGCTGTGGCTGATGAAGCAGCTGCTAATTAACTGTGTCGAGTTCTTTTACCCTCAGAATAAGAAAAATAACATGAAAGAGGTGGCCAATTGAGACAACAGCACAACTTGGTGGAACCCTTCCTTTAAAGATTAGCCAATCGTACACTTTGAGCTTTCTTAGCGTTTACACGAATCTTGGATCTAATTTTAGATTTGCAGTGCATTCTCCAATGGTGTCGGCCGCCAGATTTAGAAGAAGAAGAAGAAGTGGCCATCTTCTTAGATGATGATAATTTAATTACAACGTTAAACCAACCCAACCTCTCAGTGTCGGATTCGTCCGAGGAGGAGGAAATCGATCTACTGGAGGTGGCGCATGCGAATGTAGAGAAAGAAACGAGAACCGGAATGGGAATGATTACTTCGTCGATCGTCCTCAGAGCGTGAGCATGGAGATCTGGGTCAGCATCTCGTCACTGGGGCCGAGCACCCTCCGCCGCTCCTCGCTGGTGGCTACCCTGTCGTGGAGCAGGCGGAGTGCCCTCTCCCACCTCCCGACTAGCCGCTGCAGGAAGATGCGGCCGAGGCGGAAAACGAAGAACCGGAGGGAGACTGCCAGCTCGGCGCAGGAGTTGGGGAGCCGGGCGGCGACGAAGGGGAGCTTGAGGGCGAAGGGGCAAAGGAGGGAAGCCAGGATTTGGCAGTTGCTGTGCCCGCCGGCGAGGAGATTCATCTTGGCGATGATCACCAGGTGGATTCCCATCCCAATCAACCTCGCTGAGCCAATCCAAGATCGTCCGAGGAGCCACCGACCTCCTCTCCCCCTCCAACGCACTGCCGTGTGTTACCATGTCTCGCTCCGGGATTTATTTGGTGCTATTAGCGCGGTGGCGAAGTGCCCTCCGAACTTTTAGTTTGACGTCATGGTGTTGGGACGATGATGCAAGGCGTGAACTCAAGTTTGATGCATGGACGGCACTACCCTCGTCGGAATAAGACAATTATAAATCCGAGTCGAACCACATTCTTTAAATTTATACGATGTCATGGGAGCATCGGTCCGGTCCGGTCCGGTCAGAAACGAGGGTAATTTAGTCTTTTCATGCCGAGCCCCACGACCACTCTTGTCAGGATCAACGGCGGACGGGTCTGTCTGCTGACGTATCTACACCCGATTGGCCCCGGCCAGAAAAGGAAACAGGGTACACTGCGTCGAAGACCTGTGGCCAGACTCCCGGCCGGGTCCGACTCTTCCGCCCACTCGTTGTCCGCCACGTCACTGGACGCGGCCCAGTCGTGATCCGGCCTCCGCCAGCAGATCCGTCGGGGATGGAGACGGGGTGGGACCCACGGCCCCCTCCTCGTGTCTGAGGAGGTGGTGGGGAAGCGCCGGGTTGCGTCCGGGAGACGATCACCTGGCCTGACTTCCATCGTGTCGGTCCCACACTCCCGCAGATGCACTCGCTCTCGGCGGAGACATTGATGTTAGCGTAGAACGACCCGCTGCTTGCTGAGTCTTTCTCGATTGATATTTTCCTTTTTTTTTCTCTTTCTTTCTTTAAAGATTTTAAGCAAATCGAGTAGTTTTTGGGGTTATCATATTATTTATGTACTCAAATAAAAGGACTAAATATTGAAAAATATTCTATAATATGTTAGAATTAGCGACCCACACAAGTGTCATAAATTCGCACGAGGAGGGACGCATACGACTTCCATACGAACAACAAGAATTGAAGGGTGGTTCAAAAGATATAATTGTGAATAGTAACCTATCAATTTACATGATTGATTTCCGATGTCTACTTCGGATAACGAACCCCACGTACTAATTACTGGGGTGGGTCCACACACAGTAGATAAGAATGCGAGATGCAATCTCGTCACTAATAGGAGGGGGTTATCGTTGCGAAGGTATGTCCTTTCTCAGCGGCGGTAGATGGCACCCGTAGAGCTTTGTTTATGGTCTGTCTCTACATCAAAGAGCAGCTTCGCGTCCGTCTCAATCCTTTATATTACTTTCTATTTTTGTCGATCTGGCAAAGTGGTATGCCATTAACCCATCGATGCGCATTCCTATCCTTCTTTTTATACTTGATTTATAAGCTAATCCATGATTTAGTGAATTAAATTTTGGTTTCGGTTCGGTGATAGTCTACGGATTTTTAGTTTAGCAGGCTGCACAGGTTCCGTGGTGGAGCCCTCAGGCGAAAGCGGTGGCGCTCCGCCACTTCCGGTCGCTGGTCGTTTGCCAAGTGACGGAGACGAGGCGTGATCGTGTTCGGCTGCGGCAGTGGGGGCGGGTCCAGAGCCATCTCCGATGGGTGACATGATGAGACCCGCCGCTGCTCCTCTTCTTCAGGCATATAATAAATAATATAAAAATATAAATTACCTTAAGTTTTCAGATGAAATAATATTGATAAAAATAATTTTCTTAGAAAATATACATATTTTGAGTATTTTATTATTATTATTATTTTTAACAATTATTACATTTTTTTATTTGATTCATTTATAGTATTTATGATATTTTTTAATAATGTTTACAGTATTTTAGTAATGTATTAAAAATACCATAAATATTATTTTAAACATACTATAAATGACATGTTTCTTTGATATAATAAATACATCGTTATAATATCATACTTTTAAGCTCATAATTAGTTTAGTTGAGATTAAGACCCTCCTTATATCATTTGCTATGTTCTTAAGTAAACTTCATAGTGTTTTTGTTATGATAATAAGAACACCATAAATATGTCAAAAATACTACAACAAACCAAAACATTTTATTTTAACAAGCGAAAAAATATTTAAAGAATAATTTAAATATTTTTAAATCAAAGGAATTATTTAAAAAAGAAAATTGAAGATATTAATTAAAAAATATAATATGAAATCAAAATCATACTGTGTTAGAAACTGTATTCAGATAATGTTTATTATAAATCTTCGCCGCCTTGTTTTGGATTGAATACAATGATGCACTGATAAGGTAATAATAATTGCAAAACAGCTATAGCACTGTTAAGGTAATAAGGCCTCCGATTAGTGATATAAAAGTAATAAAACAAAGAAGAAAGAACAAAATTATGCTTTGCTGATGCTGAAGCAGTAAGGGAAGAGAGGCAGAAGAATAAAGAACAAGTAGTCGTCCATTTGGACTGATTTATTTGTTGAAGCAGCTATAATTAAAACCTGAAAAGAAGAACGGAGAAATATCAAAACGATTTCTTTAATTCAACT